ATTTCCACTACAGTTCTTTTTTTTTATTCTTGTTGTTCAAAGTGTTTCTGAGCTGGATTTGTTTCTGTGATTGCATTGAAGGTACAGCAGTTTGCCTTGTTTTTCTTTTTCTTTTGAGACACCTTTTTTTTTTAACATCCGGCAATGGGCCGGTGGTGACCATCGATGTTGTCTCTCAGGATGCTTTTGACATCTGTCCTCGGAAGGTTTGGACAAGAGCGTCTCTGTCGACCATCAGATCCAGATTCTGGTGTCCCTACTTAATCTCAGGTCAAAGAGAAAAGTTGAAATATTTTCTGCTCCCTGTTGTTTTTCCTTTTCTCCTTTTGTTTTTGTGCTGCTGTTTTACCCAGAGACGTCCAGCCYGGTGTGTGTGTTGACTTCTGTCAACATGTATCTTTGTCATACCAATTTTTTTTAATTGTTATTATCAATTCTGTTGTTAGTCACTACTCCAGTTGGTTCATTGACCACAGTCTAAATCAAAAAGTGTTGTGTTGGTTCACTCGGCGTTTGACCTGTCGTTGCACCTGTTTGGAGCCCTAAATCTGACAAAAAGTAGAACGCGGACATTTCAAAATAAATCTGAATTCACTTGTTCTAATGTGGCAAAATTGAGTATATTTTAAATCTGTCTTCAGTCCATTAGCTCTTTTTTTTGGGTGGGGGGGTGAGTATGAACTCTTGTGATTTCAATTTACAGCTTGAAAGCCTTTCAGTAAAGCTGTTTGGCCCGACTCATATCTAATCTAACTCTTTTTTTTTTAATCCAGTAATGCCATTAAAAAACAATCATTTATGTCCTGGCTGTTGAAGAAGTTATCTTGTGTTTGGCACATTAGTAAGATTTCTATGGTAAAAATAAATAAATTAATTAATTAATTAAAATGCTAACAAGCTAATGCTAGGAAAAAGGTACCTAGATAGTGCTAGTTGTGATGTCTTTAACAGTCCGTTTTATCGTGAGATTTATTATATCCTGCTGCAAAATGAGAATATTAAAACACCATGTTTTATTTTTGTGTTAAAATTCAGAAATGTATCCGAAGTTGTTCACTATTTCCAACGTGTGCTAGCTGCGTACCCTTTTAGCGTTAGTTAGATATACAGAAATTGAACTATAATAATTTTTTTTTACCAATTAACTACATTCTACATGCACTTGTATTTTCAGCTCGTCTTTATTTTATCACTGTTAAAAGATCAGATTTTGTTGTTTCTCCATAGATATTAGCGCCGTTTGTATTTTCAGGTAAGCATGCTAGTCAGATTTTGCATTAGCGTGCGCAAGCTGTGATTGTACTGAACGCTGATGTGGCAAAAACTTTGAATATCGTAAAAACAGGAGGAGAGAAGAGCAGACACATTACAAAGTTTTGCTGCACCCCCCCCCTCCCACCCCCCACCCAAAAAGCTAAAAAAATTGTGCTAATGAAAATGATAAGATATATGTTTCTAGGTTTGACCGTTTCTAAGCCAGCTTTTGGTCTGATGTTTACTTTTTGTCAGTTTTTTGTCTCGGTGGGTTTGAGTGGTTCAAWGCCTGTACAGAGTTGATGCAAAATGATTTTATTTAATGTAGCATTAAGCCTTATCTTTGTATTTTGTTACCTTTTTTATCTTTCTGTTGAATAATTTTGTTCTTCTTTGATCGACTACTTTCTTAAATCAAGGGCAGGTGATTTGTTTTGTATGTTGATGAGGTGGTATTGTTTATATATATATAT